TGTAAGGGATATCTTATTAAACTCGACGATGTTTTAGATTCAAGATTTGACATTTTTTAAGACCAATGTTCATTTGATGTTCCAAATTTGGTAGATAACTTAATATATACGGGTGTGTATACTATTCGATGCTTTATTGTTCGACAATATTCGAAAATTATAGTCGATGTTTATCACTTGACACAAATGATGAGATCCTTGTAGAACGAAACAGTACTCAGTACTGTTTTTGTTTATATTTACGATGTCTACATTTGTGTTTCCACCAACTGTAGGAATCGATTTCCATATTCTCTAACAATTATCCTTTGAAGGATAATGGACGCATTTCATCGTACATGTTCATATAGTCAACTGTGCTATGATAATATTTTGATTGAGAAATTAGAAATCAACTATTCGAAAGAATGTTCTAGTATACTGTTACATATTCAGTATTATTTATTAATAGTATTTGCAGAAAATTTTCACCCTGTTAATATTAATACTGATATTACTGCACAAATTGAGAACCAAAATAATTTAACTCATTCACAAACCGATTTACGAAATCGCACTTATAAATTAAACCGTTGGTTTAGTTCTCACATATTTCATTGGTACGTGTTGGTAAAAACTGGTTCAGTAATATATAACTGAAATCGGCAAGAGCTCTGTCCCATATTAGGAGATGTTTATGAGTTTTTTTCAAACTTTACGGACATTGTTCTGCTAGTATTAGGTGCACTACTGATTGCCATTTAGGGCTTCATAACGGAAAGACGAGCAACATTGTATTTGTTCCACTTCCAGCGTCGTTTTCTCACCGGTTTTGTTCCAATCGAGATGGCCTCGCTTAAATGGGCGTCTATATAAAGCGCTCCGTAGAATTCGTATTGAATGATGTTAATGTTTTTGCAATATAGGTCATTTTTATAATTTTTCGCAACAAGCATTCAATTGTACTTCAAATGATCGAAAAAAATTTAATCAAATATAAAATTCAACTTTAGTAAATTCACTTGAACACAAGAATCGACTTCTTCACACGTTAACAGAATATGATGAAAACATTTCTCTGCTCTGCTATATTTAAGAGATCTTCCACTTATAATGCTGTTTAATGATGGGTTACAATGGTTTGAGTAGTGAATTGAAAAATATCACTTTCATGTCAACTTTCAAAAAAAGACTGAAGTAACTTTTACTATATCAGCAGAACATAACAAGATATGATAGTATATAGAATACTAGCTTACCAGGCCGACGTTGTTTTGCCAGATATTCTATTATACATTATATATATATATATATATATATATATATATATATATATATATATATATATATATATATATATAAGGAAATAAATTTTTTTGTGCTTATGGCACTGAATGAAATATTTAAGAAAATGAACACTAGAACATTCATTTGAAAAATTCAAATTAACCAAGAGAATGTGATAGTAGAGCTAGATATGTGAACGTGTACGATGTGATGTCTCCATCATCCTTCAAGGGATAAATGTTAGAGGAATATTGAAATCGATGCGACACTTGATGGAAGTGCGAGACATATATGTTTCGTTCTGCAAGGAACTCGTCAGTCGTATTTTTCCTGAAATACGGGAATAAACGCGAGCGTACTACTAATGCAATCTATTGACATTTGAAAACATCGTATGATGATATTTGTCGAATAGACATTGCAATTTAGTAGATACCTACAGGTATAGAAGATATGTGAAATTTCGATGCTTGGTGTGTTTGTAATCTGAGAGGTGGTTTCTACTGATTCTTATAGATGGAATTGTGGTGTATTCATTGCTCTATGGTCTGCCACTTGGAGTCACAAGAAGATGCTTGGAGATTGAAGTCGTTGCCTCACTTCGATTGACGTGGTGCGTCTGACGAGTTCCTTGCAGAACGAAACATATATGTCTCGCACTTCCATCAGGTGTGGCATCGATTTCAATATTTCTCTAACATTTATCCCTTGAAGGATGATGGAGACATCACATCGTACAAGTTCACATATCTAGCTCTACTATAACATTCTCTTGGTTAATTTGCATTTTTAAATGAATGTTCTATTGTTCATTTTCTTATATATATAGTAAAAAGTAAATGACGAAAAAATGTTATTGTGGGATATCCATAAGAGATAGACATATACCATTGCGAAGTTTTCTGTAGACCTTTTCAATGTGTACAATACTCAGTATATATTTTGATAAATCTCGTAGGGTTCAGCCTGCGTTTGCAATGTAAGCGGAAAAAATGTAATTATTTACGACATCACATTAGAAACCTCAAATATAACAGTATGTTTCCACTATTTAATGGATGTTATTATACATAAAAGTCTTCCTCTTCAATCACTCTATCTATTAAAAAAAAACCGAATCAAAATCCGTTGAGTAGTTTCAAAGATTTAAGCATACATAGGGATATAGAGATAGAGAAAGCGACTTTGTTTTATACAATGTAGTGATAAAATAGTTGCAGTGTGGCTATATGTACGTGTGCGTATTGATGATTATGACGGCGCATGCATGTATATTGGATGGATTGTCATGTATTTTTATTTTTCTTTGTATTTTTTATTCATTTATGTTTTTTTTCTCCTAAGCACATATTTCCTATTACTCTAATGATATTTGAGATATTTATATACATGTTATTTAGTTTTAGTGAACTCTAGGAATTATCCTTTAAGTATGCTTGTATCATACTTCTTTCATTCATTTTTGATGTTTGTGTTAAAACTTTTTTTTCTACTTTATTTTCAGGAGGTTAGATGGAAGAATGCTAAATCTCGCCTCTTCTTATGTAGTACAATATGTTTGGCAATAAAGACGTTTATATTATTATTTCCTTATATTTCTAATAGTTTGTTCAATGCACTCTACATAGCATGACGCGCTTCGTCGTTACAAACGACCACTTCAGATGCTTACAGAATAATGAAATATCAGAAGAATGAAGATAATGAAAGAAGAAGTCGTTTGTAACGACTAAACACGTCATGCTATGTAGTGTATAAAGTGTAAATCATAAGTTCAAATGTTTGAATTTAAGTTTATATTCAATTATATTGGATTTACATCAAGCAAACGCCAACACTATTAAATATTGTTGTCAATAGTTTAATAAAACTAATTAAAGGAGTAGGTATACGGTTATTCAAAGAATTCTAAGAAAAAGAGCAACATTATTGTTATTTTTGAAGGCCTTCCATACAGAACTAAGTTCTTTACCTGAAAATTGCCAACATTGTTGAATATTAATATCCATTGCTCATTAAGCAAATCCTCAAAATTTTTGTGTCTATTAGTTGTTACTATTACCCATAGGTCTGGTTGCTACGTTTATAAATATCTTGAATTTTGAATCCTAAGCATTATTTTCTTCATCAAAAACGAAAAACCAAAAGTCAAAAAGACTATTATTAGGCGGTTAGATTATCAGTTGAAATGTGGAACATGTTGAGGTATATATATATATATATATATATATATATATATATATATATATATATATATATATATATATATATATATATATATATATATATATATATATAGGCAGAATTAGGAATTTAGAATATTACAGGTTTTACATATAATGAAAGTGATTCTAATTATTCAAACCATTTGTTACAAGATTCTTAATATATATTTTTATATAATAACAGAGGAGTATTGTTGTTTTTTCAATTAATACACAATGAAATAAAAAACATAGAAACTTAGAATTATAATTAAACGTTATGCACGTTTAATTTACCTTACGGTTAATTCGTTTCTGGAAGGATTCTGTAATAAACACACATAATACAAGGAACCTGGTTAATTGGGATCTCGAAGAACCAAGACATATTTACCATTTATTGAGGGTTTCTAATAATTCAGTTTTCCAATTAAGCAGGTTTCAAATTATGGTTGTCTCATTTACAGGAGCCGCCGCTTTCAGAGGTCGAAATGTGCCGTTATTCCATTTTGAGAGGTGTTAATGTTAACAAAAATGCGTATTTTTGGTGTTATAAATTTATTTTAGATAATAATATAATAATAAGTTCTTTATTATCAACAGGTATGACACCCAAACTTCTTCGTTATGGTCTTCTGGAGTGAAGCATCAGTTCTGAAAGTTAACCACATTATTAATTGACACTTGGTAGTACTAAATAGACGACTAATGATGACGGTTATAAGATTTGGATTTTTCCGCATTGTGTTTCACATGTAGAAAAACTTCTTTTTGTATGAATATGACATCCACTTGATAGAAATTCATGATCATATTTATAATATAAAGAAATTTTCTAATTTCCACTATTCACATGCAATTTTTCAATTGATGCTTCATTATATATTGACGAATAGACGTATACAAAACTTGACATTTACAAACTGGGATTTGTTTGCAAACTGGAGTTCGATTACCTGCTAGAGTTTGTTTGTAAGCTGGAGTTTCTTTACGTCCTGTAAAGTTTTCTACAGCTAAGAGCTCTTTTCCACCAATGTAGGAGTTTCAATTCAGAAAAAACGTGATAAGTAAACCTGTACGCTAGATAGCGCTATTTATTTATTTTTTCGAATCTAGTTATCCTTGGAGAATCTTCAATGAAAACATGCATCTTTGGTTATGGGATATAAAAGTAGACCAAATTAGCAACATAATATCGATATGCATATCAATATCTTCTTCCTATTTCGAGATATCTCAAGAAATATGTACATTTAAAACATTTTTCTTTCAACTATAAATTACGTTGGTTTTAATGAACGCATTTGATTTTTACTATTTTTGCAATCATTACATGATATGTAACAAACTCTTTTCATTTTTCTCAATTTATCGATTTACTTCTCGAATTCGTATATATCTGTTCGATTTTTGTTGGATGCTTGATCTTCTGCAATGCGTACTGTGAAAAATTTTCCGATTTTAATATTATCAAAATGTTTTCACTTAGTTTTGGAATATGAGTTAGAAGAATCAAATTTAACTATTGCCGCTCTCCGTGACTTAGTCAGAAGAACAACCGACTATGGTGCGGTAGAACTCGGGTTCGAGCCCCGCTGAAAGCATGGGTATTTGTGATTTTTAAATAATATTATAAGCTGGGTAATATACATTGATTATGAGCTTTCAATATACATAGTAATTTATCAAACGCAATTATTCAATCGTTTAACTGAAAAAAACCTTCAACTGAAATAGAAATTTTTTTCAATTGAAGAAGCTTTTTATTGCTAAAAATATCAGAACATATTCAACAGGGAAAAAATCATACAGAAGTAGAGAATTTTCTATATATTTGTTAATTTGAGAAAAACCACCTTTTAACCCATTACTACTTATTAGAAAGTAACAATATAACTATGATGACCACTTTACTGTGGTTAAAACTCAACTCGTGTTCATCAGGGTTCAAGAAGGTTGTAAATCCTCCTATTCTCCCTTCTTCAACCTTTTGAAAGATTATGTACAATGCAAAAAGAATCAGTATACCAACGTTTACTTTAATATAATGAATATTATTGGAATTTTTTTTTTGCGAATCCATTATTATGACACGCGAATTTGATTCATACTTTTTTTGTAAATATGATTCAATTAATAATAAAAATCTATTCTGTCACTGTCAAAGTTTTTCTGTCATTCATGCTCCACAATTCGTTGCAGGTGAAAAATTCTTTCATCATAACTGCACTTAGAATATCGTCTTAGACGAGTCGTAAAAACCGTAATTTAGCCTGAAAACCTTTTCTAATTAATTTGATTTTGATCTACCCGGTTTAGGCAAGCTCTCCTTCAAGGAAGTATCTCATAAATTGCCTGGTTCATTTATTCCTACTAAAAGAATATTTTCGACACAATGGTCTTGAATAACCCGTTTTCTCAGTGAAATGAAATTTGAAAGTTTGAAACAAAATTTTTTCTGTCGAGCCTGAAAGTATAGAAATAAAGATTGAAATTGGTCGGACTTTATTGAAGAATGTGTTCTGGAAAATGTAAAAAATATCCTGAATTCAACTGGATATCATTGAGCTGATGATTTTTAATTTTTAAGTCTGTATATTTCATTTGTTAGTAATCATTTAAATTCATAGTGAACATATTAAAAATTTGATGTAAAATAATACTATACCGAGCAGTTCGATAAATATTCCACTTAATAGGGGAATATTACCGTAATCTTCTTTAGGTCCCTGAGCCTCTTTAAAGATTTACGGTTGCTGACCCGCAGTTAGATGAGAGGTCTTTAGGAGAATAGAACAGATGTTTTATTTACCTAAAAACCTACCTCTGATCTGACTGTGATCCAGCAATAAAACCATAAATTTTTGAAGAGGCCCACCTTTCTAGAAACGATTAAGGTATTATGTTTACCAATACCCTATTAATTGAAATATTTACCGTATGGTTCTGTATAAAATTAATTTATATCTCATCTTAAATATGTTTATTAGTAATTTGATTGATTTTCAACAAATATAATAATAACAGATTGAAAAATAAGATTTCAAACTCTAAAACACAGATTTCAACGTGAAAAAATATAAATTCAAATTGCAGAACTATAGTAACAAGTAGAATTCAGTTGATGTTCAACTGAATATCTCCATGAAACATTTGAAAATTAATTGATTAGAAAGAATTTTTCAATTTCAAAAGTTTCATTGAAAATTGAGATTATATGATGCAGAAATGTTTTTAACGTTTAAATATGATATTTAACATGGTCGATAATTTTGAAAATGGTAAAAAGTTACAAAAAATAATAGTAGGATGAAACCCGTTTAAAAGGACGAGAATATAACAAAAATCAAGGGAAAAATAATTTACGGGCGATCTGTGATCGGGAAGTAGAAGGGGGTGAGTTTTTAAGGGTAAAAAACGGTGTACCTCGATTTCCGGCAAAAAACAACTCCTATGAAAAAAATTGAAAACAAAGTTGTAGGTAATAAAGATACCTACAACTTTTGTGATCACACTTTTTTCACATAACCTCAAAATTTATGTGAAAAATTCAAATAATGAAGATTTTCGTTTTTTTTTTCATCTTATGCAAAAAAATGTTTTTTTCACAAAATTTGGTGAAAACTTTCTCTATGTCCTAAAGACACTGTAATTTTTTTGATTTGAAATATTCATTTTTTCACCTTATTTTGACTTAATATCGAAAAAACATCCCAATTTTCAATCGAAAATTCTCGAGTCAAAATATCAGTTCTTTAAAAAAGTTGGGAAGTTTTTTGTTCGTTGAAATCTCTCCTTTCCGATAATGTAAAAAATATGTACATTACTATGATAAATGTTCTCAGAAAATGCAAAGAAGGAACTCGAATCTGAAATTTTTTTTGAATCACTATGTACAATTTTGAGTTATTTGGTAAATTCACACTTTAATTACTTGAAAAACGACGATTTTATGTTACATTGATAAACAAAAAAAACTACAAACCCATGAATGATGAAGATTGCATAAAATATAGGATTTGAAGGGGAAAAAAAAATTTCGGATTCGACCTTTTTTTTTCTTTGCATTTTCTGAGAATATTTACCATATTAATTTAAATATTTTTTCCACATTATCAGAAAGGAGAGATTTCAACGAACAGCAAACTCCCTGACTTTTTTAAAGAGCTCTTTTAAGATAGAAAATTGGGGAGTTTTTTCGATATTAAGTCAAATTAAGGTGAAAAAAAAATATTATCTGGATAAATTTTTTTGATAATTGAGAACATTCGTCAATGCTCGAAATGTCTTCTTCAAAAAGCGAGGTCTGATCACTTAATATTTGACTAACATTTATGATGATGCTGCGATTGACTTGATAGATATACTCCTTTTATCTAATCAATGGTGATTACTGATAGATCGGACCTACCAAATTCTCCAATTTTTCAATTTTCTATTATGTTACCTAAAACTCTTCTTTGAATTAAATTGAACTCTTGGCTTAATGTTTCACGATTTTACGATTCACGAAGAGTTTAATTTATTTTAATATTCAACGATGTTTCAAATATTCTTCATCTGGTGCCTTATTCTAACATGTGACCTGCCATTTACTTGGTGGTCATAATAAATTTTAATTTTTTTCATAATTAACTTTATTCTAGTATTCAAGCTCATTAATCAAGTTTGCAGTAGTTGTGAACAAATAATAAAATATAATGTGTAATCCCTCATTTTGTAGCAGCGACCATCTTGGATAAGAAGACAGAAAAACCGAAATGCCCAGAATGTAATATCACACTTACTACTAAATACCTTGTAATGGAATTCCTTCTTTTTCCATAACATCGTAACCTCCATAATTTCAGAATAATCAACAGCAGTCTACTCTATTTGCCTGAATTAAAAACAGTGAAAAATTATTTTCAATGAAATAGAATGTAACCCTTAGAATAATCTCTAATAACCAAAATTGTTGATGAGAGTAATAAACTTTAAAATACAAAAAATTTCCCACAAAATTTGTCCTAAATGAATGAATAAACCAATAAACTGAATGAAACCGTTCAATAAGTTTGGATTGGATATCAATTTTCAAATCATAAAATTTAGGCAATTATGACTCCGCTAAAGAATGGAATTAGTTGACATGAAATAATTAAGTATTGAGTTCGGAAGTGTTTTTTTAAATATTTAATTTAGTTTTATTGAATAACATTTGAAATGGCGGATGAGGTTTGAAAATTGAAATGAGTGATGAAAACTGAAACAATTGACTCAAGTTCGACTAAATATATTAACAACGCTACTATGTTTCGGTTGGTAAGGCCATTTTAAAGAGTAAAAACAATATTAACTAAAAACTCAGGTTTTCATGTAGAGTTGTTAATAATCTCTGTTAAACGTAAGCCAAGATTTTCAATTTTAATTAATTATTCAACATGATGTTTCACCAAGTGATAAGCGAAACTTCCGTGTCATTTATGTGAATTGATCGTCTTATTTATTGGAATGGTTCAAATGGTATTAACAAAATATGTTTCATGCTATGAACCTATTGATATTTGCACGAATCATAATTTTTAATCAAAATTTGCATCGAAAGCAATTCGTTGAACCATGCAAAAATTCGTGATTGACGATGCAAAGATTACGTCCACGCCTCTAGCGTGAAAAATTAGAGGTTTCTAAGAGCGACACTCCGCAAAGTTGAAGTGAAATGTTGACTAAAAATTAATCATTGGTAAATAGGCTCATCAATTTGTTTTTCTTTCAAGTATAGTTTTTCATAGAAAATACCTCTCTCTTTCTAAAAGATTTGAGAACTTTGGTTTATTTGACTTACTTGTTCATGAGCAGTTCTATGAATTATTTCCTATTTTTGATAAACTCAAGTAGTAACCTTAAAAAAACAGAAAATCAATCAACTATGTAAGTCCCGTAATGAAAGAACATTCCACAATCATTCAATGAAAACCAAATTCAGTACTGCATGGCGGCAGAGAACCTTAATAGGTGAGTGTAGGGACATAGAGAGACATGTCCACAACAGTATAAATTCTTAAAAATACCGTAAAATCCTCTAGCTTTCCTTGAATATTGATATTTATGAAGTCATTGAGTTTTATATCATCTAATAGTTATCAATATTTGAAAAAGCTTTCGGTCGCCTACCTTGAGATTAAAAACTTGGGAACACCCATGTTTTTTGATTAATCAAGCACTAAATTCGCAGTTAAACTTGCTGTTTGAAATCAAAAATTTGCTCTCAGAACATCTTAGTAACTATGCATTTTCTTCTTTTTATTACATGTAAATCATATGTTTGTCTCTTACAGAGCAGACAGAGTCTGTCCTCAGTCCTTCTTAGGTATTTCTTCTCCATAACTCATTTGTGAGTAATTGTTTTGTGTATCCTGCAGACACATGTTTGAGGTCGACTATTGTCAACATAATTATTTTCTTGTCCAGCAAGTAACTACATAACTCTCATTCGTAGTCATCAATCAAATGTTTTAGTGACGTAAAATGTATCCAAAGCTGTCAATGAACAGACATCTTCACGATTTTGGAACTAGAGGCGATAGTAAAAATCTTTTCGTTGCCAATAGATTTCCTTGCT